TTCTGAATTAAATATAAATCATATCCTAGTTTAGTTAGTTCCATATTATTAACTCTTGGTTCGTTCATTGAAAATTGAATTACTGAACTATTTGGTTTTAATTAGACTACAATAAAGAAAACTTCATTCTTCATACGAATTATCCTACAAAACACGAAAATTCGCTCAATATATAAAAAAACGTAAATAAAGCAAATCATTCTTTAAAAAATCCAGAATCCCCGCTGCTCGCTGTTTTGGAATATTTCCCGCAATCGGCTTTTCAAAAAAGCTAGATTTTACGAGAAAAAAGCTGATTTGGCAACACTGCTACAGACCAGCAGATGCCTCCGTAATGAGTTCAAATGATGTGGCAATACTTTTAGGTGGAATAGCCATAGATAAAGGCGATGCTCACACAGCTTCATCTATGGGATATCGCTAGAAGGCGGGGCATGCTGGCCAGAAGATTCTGCCCCAGAAGAAAACGCAAAGTCGGGAGTACGGGAGAACTGGAGTACGAGAAGTTGGCAATAAATGAAAGTAGAGATCCTCTCAAGTGCGTGCGATCTGCGCTGCATAGGGAAACCCACAGCCGACTTGCCGCTTGTTGTGGTTCTGTTACAGTGGCTGGCAGTGGATAATACGAACACATACGCACACACACACACACACACACACAAGTTGGCAAACGCAACGAGATGGCCATTTGGCTTTGGTTAACCGACTACCGTTTTGTAATTTATTTAAGTAATAAAATAAATATACGAGTATGTACACTGCTGCCGCCAGAGGCAGTAGCAGTGGGCGGAGCACCTGACTGGACTGGCGTAAGGAGTAGAAGCAGCTGCCAGGAGGACGAGCTCAGTGCCAGTACACGCCACCACCAGCACATATGTGTCTATACTGTACATTAAGTGCGCGTGCTGCTAGTGTTGGATAGTGCAACAACTGTGTTGTTGTTGTTGCTGCCATTGTTGCTGTCGTTGTTGTTGGCAGCGAAAGTGCGCTTGAAGTACACGGAGCACCTACTTGGCCAAAGTGAATTTAGTGTCAAGTGCAGGAAAATGTGAAAAGCAGCTACGAGTTAGTTTTTCATATTTAAGCAGCACTAGACGCGACAACAACAACARCAGCAACATTAATAGCAACAACGCCGATGTTGACGCTGGCGGCAGCAAGCGCTTGCCCCAATCTTCCACCTTCGAGCGTTTCATGCCACATCTACATAGCCATAGCCATAGCCGTTGCCTGGGGTCTGTCTAGTGTGGCTGTTGGCACTTGGGCGCCGTGTGCATGGTGCGTGGCTCGGTGGGGACCAGGCGGGGGGCAACCTGCCTGCAAAACAATGACGTGCCGTATTTAGAAGCTAACGGAAAACCCGTAGCTGAAGCTGACGCTAAAGCTGACGCTGAAGCTGAAGCGTTGCATCCTGTCCTGTTCCACACCGCGCGGCGAACGTCGGATGTCGTTGACTTTTCAAGTCGCATTAGGCGAATGGGCTGGCAGCAGGCGCAGTGGCAGGAGACGTTGAATGTGAAGAGGCAGCTTGCAATGATTGGAACGAGGTGCGCATAAAAATACATGTAAGAGGCTTTCAGCTTATTGTTTGGCACAGTCGCTGTCGCGTTTTGCGATTGCACACACAAGCCACCTCCTCGCCCCCTGCCACACGGTCCATCGGCTTAATTTTATTGATATTACGCGTACTTGTCGCAGCCCAGGTCGACAGACGCCCACCAAAACCCACCCACCCACCTATGCCTGGGCCGCTCCTTGAGGCAGCCTATTAATTTTTATGCGTGAGGTGATTTTTATAAACAGCCCAAAACTGAGAAACGAGCTGAAGGAGGAGTCTGGATAACCAGCAGAACCAGCAGGCGCTGCTTTTATATACATTCCTGACAGCTTCAATCCAATTACGTGCCATAATCAACCAGACACGTGCTTGTCTTTTACGAGTACGAAAAGGCAACAGCGACAAAAAGAAGTAAGAAAGCTGAAGTCGAGACTGCTCGACTACGAGATCCCCTGAACCCTTCGAGCAACTGATATTTCAATAATTATTCGCATATGCACACATGCACGCACACACCCAGACATACGTACGCACGCATAAACACGCATTGGCTGCTGTGCACTATGGGGAAAAATCCAAATTATCGGGTATTAATTAATAACTTGAAAACTAAGCCAAATTTTTTGATCCGGTTTTTGTATTATTAATWTGTATACCATCAGAAATATATTTTAGAAAAATGGGCGTGTAACAGCCCACCCAAAAAATATTAATTAACATTTTTTATTAAAAAAATATTTCTTTTTAAAAATTTTGCTTGTTTGTTCTTTAAAATAATAATTTTAATTTAAAACAATCGAACTTTCATAAAATCGAAATTAGTTTTCTTCAGTTTCGAGTTCCAAATCAACCAGAAATATTGATCCGCTAAAAAAATTCGGGTTCTTCAACTGATTTAATTGTGCCTTCAACTTTACATAATACAAGACGTACAACTTCATTAGA